ATCTCTATTGATGATCTTTAAGAATGTATGGCCTTCTCTGTAGAACTTCTCCAAGTCCATATAGAACGCTTCGACTTCTTCGTCGTCATAGTTTGTTGTCGGCACGTAAACGACGAAGATTGTCAAAGCCGGAATTGATCCATGTCTTTTTAATCGTAAACGTCCGATTTGGGTTGTAAGCTCTTAGAATGAATCGATGTTCATGGGCAAACTCGTGTTGAGAACGTCGACGCCGCCGAGACTTCTACTGTCGCATATTCAGTTCTTCTCCGGTGTCGTAGACGGCGTTGGAGGGTGGCGTCGTATCGTCTCGGCCAGGTCGATGACGTCGTACCTTACCCTTCTTGCTTGCATGAGCAAGTCTCCTACCGAGGACTCAGATGCAAGTGTACGTGCATTGTAGGTACAGATCGTCACCATAGTTCTTCGTGATCTAGGCAGCTTCCACTGGTCCTGAAATTTTAGCAGCCTCTTCGTATTCGTCCTACCCAACGTTGCGCAATTGGGGGCGCTTTCGGGGTCAGGGCAATGAGGGCTGTTTTTTTTACTGTGTTTAGCACTTTTGATACCCACGTATAGCTTGCTGGGCTCTGAACGGGGAGGCTGGGTACTCACGGGCAGCTTGCCATTACCAGGCTCTCCCAGAGTAGACAAGGAGCTTATTTGTTGGAGGCTACTCCTATCCGCCACCCATATACATCCCTGTCACTTGATTGCAGGCTTTTCGCCGAATTGACTCGTAGAATACAATCTGCATGAGCGAGAACGCACCCACACAGACATGCATGCATACGCCTAGCAAATACAGAAAATGTGTGCCAAATCGGCGCAACAGAAACAGGGAGTCCATCCTCTGGATCCACTCGCGTCACCACCACAGCCAGTCGCCGCACTTGTGGATCAGAGGGAAATTTGCGACCTTGCAACTAGTTTGATACCAGGATGGTGGTGGATCAGGGAACTAATTTACTCCTAGCTAGGCTTCCTAATGGAAACACCAGCCTCCTTGTCAGCTTGGGAGACCCTGCTCAAGGGATAGATCTCCTCGCTGTACATCGCAGCCTGACACTCAGGAACATCTCCCAGCCACAATGAGGCAGTAAACCGTTGGGAGGATTGACCGACGTTACCACTTTGCACTTTAAAAACCCACTCTCTATGGGAAAAGTGATAGCAAAATACCATTAGCACATTAGCGAAGACTTCCTTTCCTCTGCAGTACAGTGCTTTCCAAATGAAGAATTCTCGTCCTGTACTTTAGTTCTGCTTCCCTTTTTCAATCCTTCCATGTCCTTTATTTATGCGGAAAATCTCCATCTGTCTGACGAAAACAAATCGCCCAGCATGCGGACATGGAGTTGTTAGCTTTTGGGTGATATTTCGTAATATATGTTGAGAACATTTCATTTTTTCTATTACGTTTTCCACAGCAACCAGTTCCGTGCGATAGTGGGGCTTCACCATGACGACGAATGACGAGCGGTATATCGACTACTAGTCAAAGTTAAACTTCATGGATTGGAATTATATCCACGGCGGACGAATCGTACTTCATTTGTGATCACCGCTTCATCAAGAGTGAACTAGAAACCAAGGACACAATAAGGAGATGTTTTTGCCTGAACGAAGCGAATCATTGAGTGTGAAAAATAGATAGCGACGTCAACAATGAGTATTTGAACAATGTAGTGTCTTTGGAATATTTTACATTGAATGACAGTCAATCCGAACTGGACCCACTCTCATTGTCAGGATAGAGAAACCCGGAATACTTTTAAGGACTTTGTCCAAATCTGAATAAGAAAAAGGAGCAATAATGCGAAAAAATAATGCACAAGTTGAAGGAATCGACGACTATTGAAAAGATCAGAAGATTCACTCCACTCTGCTGTAGATAAAAACTGTCAAATTACCAGGGATACTGTATTATTCCGACCTATGAAAATGGTCCAAGGATATGATAATGGACAAAAAGATTGCAAGAAGTTGTCCATTTCGTCAATACGAATGCTATAAATCTTGGCACTTATTAAGAACTTTCGTTTCATCCTTCCAGCATATCCCATCTAAGATGCAAAGGTATGAGGCCACGCTATTCAAAGTATGCAGGATGGATGTACATGCAGCATTATCATGCATGCCGCTAAGGCGATCCGAGAACGTGGAATTAGGCTAAATAGGTAGTGGAGAAGCTTAGAAATCAGCAGAGACTCAAAACAATGGATGAAGGCCGCTCAAAATAAAAGTGTTATAATGGTCCCAAAATTGGACAGTAATATAGAAAATGAAACGAAGTCGACACTTGACGCTACTCTTTCCAGTAATTTGTCAAGAGCTCAAGTTATTTAAAGCTACAGCGAAAAAAAACCTTTCAATGTCATCAGTGGCAAGATGATTTCTCAATCATTACTTATCAGAAGGACCAGCAAGTAGTACGTGTGTTTTTTTCATCCTCTCGCCCGCGAAGACGTCCAATCAAGAAATACACGTAAGAGGTGCTGATCACTTCCTGGTGCCCAAAATCAATCAGATTTCCGTTTCGCAAGCAAAGTAGTCCTATTCCGGCAGAGTCACTCTGTAACCAGACAACTGAAAGCCATAAAACATTGAGGCAAACGAAGCCACCAGAGGTGAGCGTTTGTGCTCAAATGGACCTTCATACAAACATTTCAAACATTAAATATACTCTTGATTTGCATAAATTTAAATACTATGAATCAATTTTATTTCAATTTTTAAATGCTGGTCGGTTTGAAAATTGTTTTGCTATTTGCCTTGTGCCAGCTAACATTTTACCGGCTACTGCAGGGTGGATTATCAGTTGGAAAACCAACTATCATCAGCGTATAGTCTTGTCAACAACAACAGCTCTGTATAAAAGGACACCGCCGAGTGTGCTTGTCTCATTCGTGCGGTGTTCACTGAAGAGGATGCTGTCTCGGTACGACAACGAAGAGGCCACATTGAGATCACGAAGAACTGTGGACCAGTGACACTGATCATCTGCTCTGATGAAGACGATGACGTCGAAACATTAACCGAAATAAACACATTTATCAACCTTGTGTAAGCTCAACAATTTGAATACATGTTGACTATAAGTCGTTGTTATTCTTCTTTAGTGGATCGCAATATTGACTATGACGTAATTGACTGTAGTGCAAACAAACGTATCCAAATTTATTTCTAACCTCAGCACTTGGCAGAGAGGCATATGTAACAAGATGACTGGAATCTTTGAAAATCTTAGTATCTTACAAACATACTATCTCGTTTCGTCTATTGGATATCGAAAATATTAAGACTTAAAGCAAACAAGCCGAGGCCATTGTCACTAATAAAGTCCTTACGTATTATTCTGACAACTATGGTTATTTCCCTTTTCGCCTAATACACTTTCTGCGACCTGATACTATACCTTGTACTCTATACACTACGCAACATGATTCTGAATGGCTTCCGTTTCAGTTTACTCGTGACTCCCTTCTCGCTGAATGGAGTCGAACGGCTAAAACATTGGTTCAATTTTGGAACAGGAGCCAGGAAGACTTAACTACGTTACGCTAACATTTGGGAACTACTCATTCGACACCTAAATCACATGAGACCCAAGCTCTATCTACAGGTGATTTCGTGTTGATCCATGATGTCGTTCTAAATCGTGGACAATGGAAACTAGAAGAAACAGTGTGCTCTCAAAACGACTTCAAACGTTCTGCTAAAATTAATTTTCCTTCAAAAGCATAATTACACTCTTGAACCTCGTGCAGGAAATTGGTTGCTAGGGTTGAAATGAGGAAGAAATGAAATGGTAACGAGCGCGCGCCGTCAGAGAGAGCCACGCCTCCCGACATGATAACCTTTGACTTTTTTGGTGGTGTTGAGGTATGTTCAAAAAAAAATTCTATAGCAGGGGTATGAAACAGAATCGCCACAAACACTCTAACTCAAAGCGGATAGGCAAATACAGTTCATCATGATCCATGAATAGATTCCGGTTGAAGTACACCTGGCTTCGTTCATGTTATCATCGGCCGGTACCTTAATTCCATGAACTACCACCGCAAACCATGACTGGTACGGACGAGTCGCTAGTGGCGAATCCCTGCTGCTCCATGCTTATAAACAAGACATCCTGAGAGAGATCGTCAGTGTAGGTGGGAGCAAAGTCAGTTACAAGAAGGACTCGCGCACGTTTCTTTGATTCTGAGCTGAGAAGGCGCACTAGATTAGACTAGACCAGATTCTCACGGCTAAAAATATTTTGTTCCGTCTTGAGGTATTCACAGAGCATGATGATTGGGGAATCGAGGTTGGGTCAGATGGTCAACTCTTACCACCGCACCAAACAGTTCCGCTAGTCCGCGCCTGCTTTCAAGGAAAAGTGATCAAGATGATTCAAGAGCATATGGTCATGATCGAAGAGGATTCTGCTCCATTCAAATACAAATATTATTACATATGCATGAGTATACAGATGGTTTTATACTCGTAGAACTGCTAACGAAAGACAGTTACTGACCACAACGAAAAATGAAAGTGCACAGCAAATCATGAGATCACTCCACAATAAAGCTTTGAATATACCTGTTATGACAATTACAACGTTAGGAAACAATCGTACTTGTGAACAATTTGAAGCAATATGAAGTAATAGATCTCAATCCTTTGGATTACCTCAGCAAACACATCAACTTCGCCGCGTTGCGTTCCCTGCAAGATAGTTTCGAACACTTAATGCTCATTTTTCAAATGGATATAGTTTGATGATTCTGACTATACACGATTCTTTCTGACAATCTGATATTCCTTCATCCATTTAAAACTAATTATTGCATGTACACTTCTGAGCAGGTAGGAGGCTATAGAAATAATTACGCAAATGAAAACATATTATTATTCGTGCCTCGAGCAATTTATAAACAAAGGAACTGGATGGCGTTTACCATACTTTAATACCAGAAACATCATGCTTTCTGATTCTATGTGGAAACACAAATAACGGTACACTCTAGCGTATTTTGTTTACCAGACCTCTTTCCACTTCTCGTGCGAGGACGCGACGTTGTTGACGTTGCACCAAGATCCATTTTATAAGAGTAGAATAGTGGAATCGACTGATTGGCGTCCAACTATAAATCTATCTTTTCTCTTCCTAGAAGAAATACGGATTTGAAACGGAACTCCTATCTCAAAGGAGGTAACCTGATACGGCTGCACAGGAAGCATGGCCGTCTCCCGCATGTTATTCCCAGTATATGCTATGGCGTTCAACTGCCAGTCACCCATTTCTTCACTCCAGCTCACATACCTCTCGATTAGCTCAACATATTCAGGTGGTATGTATTCGTCAATGATCGTCATGTTTAGAAGCAGCTCCTTAAAACACTATGTATAGTTGTAAACAACCTGCTTTATCGCTTCATCGTTACCATTTTCAACGTCTACACCTTTACAGCTACTGCACCTATTGAAGTATTCTCACTTCTCAAAAGCTTTGAATAGGCGTTTCTATACAAATAAAATATAGTTAATGGATCTAGCATCAATGTTTGTTGATTAACGCGTAAATTAAACATTCACACAATATAGTAATCTTAGCCGTCCTCATTACTGCCTACTCTTTTTAACAGCAGGGTATATTGCGAAATATAACTTCAACGATGCTGAGATATTTGCAAAACTCCGGACCGCAGGTGTATGCGGTGGGGAACGAACGCGTTATTGTCCTATCCGGGGAGTAACACGTACACCACCACACCATGCGGGCCCTTCGTTTCGCCTGCCTCTCAGCTAGTTATATCGATCTTTTGCCATCAGCAATCACCCATTAGCGGGACTGATCTATTATATTTCGCAGTATACCCCGCCATTAAAAAGAGTAGGCAGTAATAAATAAAACGGTTAAGATTGTGATTATAACCAAGGCTTCAGCATAACTGGGTTCATTGCCGATTTGGGCTCTCCAGATCAATCCCGCTAAGGGGTGATTGCTGATGGCAGAGATCGATAACACTAGCTGAGAGACAGGCGAAACGAAGGACCCGCGCGGTGTGATGGTGAACGCGCTACTCCCCGGAAAGGACAATAGCGCGTTCATTCCCCACCGCAGACAGCTGCGGTCCGGAGTTTCGCAAATATCTCAGCATCATTAAAGATAATGATATTTCACTTTGCACAATAAGACATACAGCATACTCACGAGCTGATACAAAAGTTGCTTGAACAATAAATAGTGTACAGATTCTACGCTTCGATACAGTGAAGGCTCGCCTTCAAGAATCATGTGGTAATGGTATCCGGAACAAAGCATGCCCAAAAAATTTCTTTTTTTAGAATAAGAAAGTAGTATAAGGCATTCTCTGTTTGTAACCACGAGAAGTCGCGGACGCTTGGATCACTGCAACGTTCGCCGCCTTGCAAGGTCTTTTAGGAACAGAAATGTTTTACACCGTGATCCGACTTCTAGAAACACCTCACCCGGGGAAGTGCGAAGTGGACCAACGCGAAACCTCTTCATTCCAAATTACAAATATAGGGATACATATTAATGGCACAACAACAGTAAACATCGGATAAATATACCCTTATTTATAACAGATGAACCAATATTTCCATTATACAAAATATAAACAATGAAAAAACAAAGACCAATTACAGCACACCTTTCGTAGCTGTCTGACGCTCTCAAGCAGCCCCTCGATTTCTCGTTGATGTTCCGACTCTGAATCCGATAGTTCTGTTCGGACTTCACATAGTTCACTCCAAACACGACGCAATCGACGAGTTTTCGCTGCCGCTTCCTCTTGAAGTGAAGAGAACCTGGAAGTAAAATAGGATAGTGCGGGAGGAATCTCGAAAACAAAGAGTTCATCATAAAGAAATGTAAAAAGACTAGGGACACAGCAAAAGGAAGTTCTGAATTTTAAACCTACTTCTCCTCTATATCTTCTCTAGCCGCTGCCTTTTTCTTGAGCTGGTCACGAAGGTGAGACTCCTGTGTTTTTGACAACTCCAGCTCTCTGAGTGCAAGACTTTTTGATCATACCTTTCTAAAACCAGCAACTACGATGATGAAGTGGGCCTAGTTTTAACTTTAAGCTAGCCACTGTCTTAAAAGTGTAAGTAATTGACTAAAAGTGTACGTAAAAGTTCTACTACCCTTTAATTGTAATGATGTGGAGATCAACGTACAACTTCTTCAAAGCAATAAACAAAGTCACATTTAGTGCATCTTTTACTTGCTACATATACCTTTTTTATGGTAGGGTACTACGTTAAGCACAACCATAAGGATACTGCAAAATGATCAAAACTCGTAACCATAATTGGGCTTCGAATCCGCGATTGACTTTGCCAGAGGCACATATGCTATCCATCAGACTAACGAAGGTCCTTTCTTCGCCTTTCTCTCAGACAGTTTTTTACTCTAAAGGTGCTATCAGCAGGTACCTATCAGTGGGAATGATCTTGGAAGCACAGAAAATCACAAAATCTTGAGATTTACTTAGTGCCGATTTTTTCATAGCAAGTTATGATGTGAAGTTCAACCACAACGAACCGAACCTCAGATGGGCTCAACTGAGTTAAATGCCGACTTCTGCTTTCGAGATTATTCCCGTTAGCGGGTGATTACTGATAACAGAGTAGAAACGACTAAAAGAGTAGAATGAAAACGTGACTGAGAGAAAGGCAAAGCAAGGGCCCCAGTTGTTATGGCGCACAAGAGAAGAGCCTCCAATAAGGGTAGCCGTGGGTTCGAAGTCCTCCAGAAGTTCCGAGTTTTGCTCACAACTCAACATTCGTGTAGTCACACTGAATCCGTAAAATCCTCGTTATAAATACAATTAAAGGAGTTAATTGCGCAAAACACACACCGATTACTCTCTTCTAATAATCTTGCTTGTTCCTCGGCTTTTTCCAACATGTTTTCTCCGCCAATAATCAGCCGACTTTCGATCTGGCTAAGCTTTGCAAGCAAATCGGCGTGTTCAGCTCTAGCGCGCTTTAATTCTGCCTCTCTGAACACAAACACGTCAATATAACCCACAATACTAGGAACGTGGCAGAATCGTAGACTACCTATCAAGCATTTTCTGCACTAGTGCTTTCGTCTCTTCGTCTTCCACGTTTCGGCCGGCCAACTCCTCCCTTGTTTTCTCTAGATTCTGCTCCATTTCTCTCATACGTTGCTCCCAAGTGGCCTCGTTTTCATTGTTCATTTCAACATCCTCTTCTAAACTAAGAAGAAATAGTATACAAGTACATTTCCAGTGGAGATTTTGTGGTCCTTACAATTAGGATCACTACATGAGCAGATATAATGATGTTTCTCATAAATGATACGAACAATCATTCGAAATAGTTTCCTTTCGACAACATTTAATTTCTACGGAAAAATAATTGAAATGTATTGAATTTCCTAAAAGAAAAAAAAAAAACGAAAGACTAAGAGAACTCATCGGAAGAAGAAAGTGACCGATTACCCACCGGCCAACTGTTTTCTCAACATTTCGATTTCACGTTGGTACTTCCTCAACTGCGCGTCTTTCGGGTCTTCATTTATCCTGGCTATGTTCTGGATATTTTTCGCCCTGTTTGCGTAACGTAGCGTCGATAATGTTTCCTCGTAGTTATAAGAGGCTGGTCCAATGTTTGCAATCTACAAAACTTCTACAAGTTCACTCTAAATGACAGACCAACAAGTTCTCTGTACCACACAGGTCGGAAATTATCGATACATTTTTCAAAGATCTTCCAACATGTAAATTTTCTACCAAACAGAGGGGTTGGATTTTACTTTATAAGATAAGGATAAAGTAATTCGACTAGCTTTTCATAACAGCTATCACTGTCTATCACAAAATCCTCTCTGGAAGCTTTTGGACCATTGTCCTGCAAACGTCGTGTCCGCAGTAAACGAAGGACCTTCTACATTTTTTGTAAAAGAGAATGGTCGTCAAGACTTTTCTGTAGTGGGTGGCTTTTTAAAGCACGGAAAATAGAAGTCGTAAGCTGCAAACGCATATCGTGACCAACAGACTTATTCAAGCGTGACTAGTACATGCCAAATGAATGGGTTTTGTAGCAAGCAAACAAGCTATTGTATGGAAAGTAAACCGACTCGCGCCCTAAACACTTTCGTTGCATGCAGTTAGCCAGTTTCTAAAGTTTGGAAGGAAGAAGCTCATGATAGATTTCCCAGAATTCCATCAAAAGTTGTCATAAAATTTCGTAACAAGGCGGATCAACCCTTGTGATTCAGCGGAAGTTTTCACCTTGTAGGACTAAGAGATGCCCAAAAAAAAAAAATAGGAAAGCAGTGCATTTCTAGCTATGCATCTGCCTTCTGGAAGAGTTTAAGTCCTCCGCACTACTCATTGTCAATGACTTCTATGGGGGATAAACCTCGCAATGCAGCGGAGTTTAACGTAATCCTTTCAAAGGAAACCTTTCTTTTATGGAGATCGGAAATTAGCAATATTTCATTGATATGCTAGATTAGTAACTCCGCTAAAGCTATAGGTTCCTAAAATTTCATTTCTTAAACAAACTAGAAATCAACAAAAGACAAAGTGTAATCAGTCTACATGTCTAAAAATCTTACTAACCATTACGGTCTTTGAATTTCCACCAAGCGAATCTTGCAGTAATCGCGTCAATTTTGAATTCCTGGAATAAGACTTCCACATGATGCAAAAAAAGGTCAGTTTAGAAAATGATGCCATCAAACTACCATCTTCCACTCAAATGTTTCTTACGGCGCCTTTACTAACACATGAACAAAAAAACGAACCTGTATGGAATATGAGTGGATTTCACATCAACAAGCGCACTGATCACATTACCAAGAGTGGATAGAGACAGATTAATTTTAGCTGCTTCCTTAACAACTATAGTTTCATGATCTGCAACGACTACATCGATTCGACCAGTTGCGACTACCAAAAGAAAAAGAAATTGAACTGCACTCCATCCCTCGAAGTACATAATAATTGAACTAATTATTAAGTTACCTTCAAGCGCTCTCCTACCGCTCCCGTCTTACTCTGTCTTTCGCTACCAGCTAAGTCAACAAGGTGAAGTTTGCCTTGAGTTACCATGCCTCGTTCGCTTGACTCAACTGTCACTGAGAACATGGCATGAGACCTACTGCTTTCTTCATTCATTTGTGTCGCTCCAACTTTCCCTAGAATGGAGAAGTAAAAGGATATAAGGATAAAGCTCTCTGCGTTAATCAACCCCTGAGGGATTTGCCATGCATTCAACTTCATTAAGGATCGTTGGAGGTGACTGAATGCAAATTTGGCCTTTACAATGATTGGCGGTGGCCTCCGAATGTACCGAGCCAGTGCTGCTCTCCTCCGAAACAAGTCTGGTACCAATTTTAGGGCATCAAAACTATGTTATAATCATCGGTATGATAACATCCTTCCCCTTCAAGGGCCTAGGAAAACAAATGAGTGAAAAGAATACAGTCATACTTATTCAAGTCATAGAACGAGCCAAAGGCAAACAAAATACATGCAATCGTGACAATAACAGTAACAATATAGAAGGACATACTATTTCTATTGCCAAATTCCATAAGTTTCTGCATCTGACTAGCACTTCCGACTATAATAGAAATCAAATTTTTAACATAAACACCAACGTCTGCTTTCTCCTGAAAAAGAAAAAAAACCACTCAATCACAAAAAGTGTGACGAAGAACATCGTCACATACATTCTTTTGGACAGTTAAATCACACACTAACTTTTGGATTTTTTGATAACAGTCTCACCATTCATAACCTATAAATCGCACAATTACGCTTCAAGAAATAGACATTATAAAGTATTTGGAATCAAGAGGAACTATAAAGATAAACCTTTATCTCAAGATTCGCTCCATGCCCATCTTTTGCCAATAAATCACGCAATTCCTCATTATAAATTTCTAAGTAGGAAACGCGAACGAGAAAACTATAAAAGTTATTTATAACCACTCATATTCCGGCAAATACTATGCTTCTCGCATACTCACGTCGTATCCTGTTGACATTTGGCAATGTGATCAAAGATGTGCGCAAATGAGTTCGGTATGATTCCTTGCAATTCAGGTCGATCAAGATCACCAGTCATCGTGAAGGTTTTACCAGTCCCAGTCTGGCCATATGCGAATATCGTACCTACACAAGTAGAGAAAATAGACTTAAATTTAGACTTGAAAGGCTTGTATGGAAAGCGAGATCTGGAATGAAGAATATGAACAATCGAAAAGTCACTCAACCAGTTACTGAACAATCAACTGTCAAGAAATATAAGAAATAAAAAATATGTCAGTATTAACCAAACAACCTCAATTCTCAATAAACCAACCATTATATCCTTTAAGCACATTCTCCACTATTGGCCTAGCAGCAACGTTATAGACGCGCATCTGATCACAATCTTCAGGGAAGACAGCATCGAAGAAAAATGTTCTCCGTGGTTCCTTAAAATAGTGAACGGATTCCTTAAAAATGAGAAAAAAAGCAAATCAGATGAATAATACTAAAAGTATTCTCTATACAGCAATACTTTATACTTCTCAATACTTCTCAAACTGGACACTACGCTGGTAATTTTCACCAACAACCAAACGGCGATGTTCAAACATAGTAAATCCATTAGTAGACCTTATAACGAGCTTACATAAAGTGTATAGAAGACAATGTAAATACCTCTTTCCCATTCATTTGCTCCAATACAACAGAGTTGTCATCCGTAAAAACACGGACAGCTACTTTGTGTCCTTGATTAAGCTCTTGCTGTGATATAGGGCGACACCTCACTACCACCTTCACCTTCTCCGCCTCTTCCATCTGACTGACTTATGTTCTTAAAGAGTGAGCTACAAACCTAAGCGATAGGTTGTCTGCATCTTTTCAACCTGCACTAAAACTCAGAGTACAGCAAGACAATATAGAGCAGCTAGTGTACTGCAAGCGGATAAATTTAGCGTATTTCGGGGTTGTTTATGCCTTTAGCACACAATACATACACCAGAAGCCAATACATGATTAAAATTAATGAAACACACAATAGAGGGATTTATAGACGGTTAGAGAAGAATAGAAGAGCTTGAATAAACGTCCTGATGACAATTATAAACTGAAAAATGTAACCATCTACGATGACATCTCATTCTTCGTCTCAAAATCAACATGAAATAGGAGAACAAATAATAACTTCTTCGCCGTAGGAACAAGTAGATGCTTAAAACAGCCCTCACATGTCTCGGACATAAGCAATCATTCGTCAGCAAACTATACAAAACTTTTACAATTACGTTGTATGACGCAATTTTATACACTGTAAAAAAAAGAACCATCTGCCAAGAGAACTACTTAGTGGAGAATGAGTGAATTTTAGCGTTCTTCTGGGCAATTATGATTCATGTAATTCAAAAATCAGAAAACCGTAGTCATGGAAACTATTACTAGCCTTCATCAAGACGGAAAACGGAAACAACTTACTAGGGATATCTTCAGTAATATGAAAAACTTCACCGTAAAAACAGCAACATTGTAAACGCATAAATACAGAAAAATCAACGTGCGGCAAAGTTACAAATACTGGTTCATATGGGATTTTAAAGCGAATATTATCGTAGATTCTCACAAATTACCAATACAGAGAGAATCATAGGTAAGAACGATGCCCTCATTTGACCTGATAGAGCAAATATGTTACAAAACAATAATGCCTTATACCGCGAAGGAAAAAGCATAGGAACTTGTGTTTGAATACGATTAGTGGTCTAAACAAATGCACACCTGGAAATACATAAGACGAGCAAGTAATGTGATGAGGCAGACAGACAATCTGAGAAATAAGCGTGGTTTGTGATTGGACTTCAACGCATAGGTTGAAGTCATGGAGTCACCGCTCGAGTAATGAAATCAAGCAATCTGCGAGCATACTGAAAACGGATTGTCCAAGATCAAAGAATTCAAACCGATGTCCCTATATCTATATTTCTCGTATTTCTAAAAATTGACCATACTTAAACCTATGCTTCACCTTCCTGACCACTGTTGGAGTACGTATGTATACTGAGACAATTTCGAAACTTCCAATTTTCCTAGTCAGTATAACATTTAGATGGTTGGTATGAATCACCTGGTCCGGTTTTACTGTACTGATGTTCTCAACATCAGAGCCATACTTCACCGTCTTCGCTGCAGTAGCTGTTCGCTTCTTCACACCATAATAAGTGAGAATATCCACCAAACCAATGAAATATATTAATTGCTTGGGAGAGTCTAAACTATCGAAAGTCATTAAGACGCTTAAGTTTGTTCCTTAGCAAGCGGAAAAGGAAACAAAATGACGCCCTAATTCACCTGGATGACTAGCAATCGCATAGTACTCATCGTCAAGGTCCGGCCCGCCTGACAATGGTGGAAACGCTCCAGTTGAAGGAAGAGGTGAGTCCGGAGGACTAGGACACAATTCATCTCCCGATTCTTCACTCATGTGCTCCTGTGGCCGCTTTGCGGCTTCCTCGGCGGCACGTTCACAATCGTGAACGCCTAAATGAAGGAGGTACAACAGAACCACACTGAAAGCGTCTTATAACAAAATCGAAAAGCTTAATCGTTAATAAATCTTCCAGCCACCTAGTATTTCATAGCAAGCATATAAATAATCTAACCTAAAAGTAATGAATAGTCCATTAGATGCATTTTAGACAACCAGGTAGTGTCTGAGGCCAACATTTCCAAAAGTTGATGGCGAGTTTCCTAAAAAAGACTGCTAAAAATACGCTTGCTTCAATATATTGCAATGAACATGTAAACTCAACTGACGTGAAAAACTGCTTACTTCGGGGAGGTTCAACTTCTCGTTCATCTCCAGGAAGTCATTGTCCTTCAAAGTCGGTACTTCCTTCGTTCTTTCCTTCTCTGATGCTGCACGTGCTACTGTTGAACCCTTGAAAAACACTTAGAAACTTTCATGTCAATACGATTTCAATACAGGACTTCTTTTCAACCATCTACCATCCAACCAGTTCTGCTCATCAAACTCTTCCATTGAAATAAAAAACCTGTGCTAAAAATAGTTTTAAACCAAGAAGTATTCGACAGCCTTAAGGTAATCCTTCTGATTAGCCTTGGAATAATGGCATAAAACACAGAGCATCACTATGACGCGCTTAATAAGGTGCTGTTATATGAGTCGCCGATACTTGTGTTCTATTGCTTTCTTCGAAGAACGAAAGAATAAACCTATGCATGTGCCATAAAGCGCTTTATTACCTTAACAGTAAAATCACACACCTATTTCTCAACATGAACAATGTAAAAGACGGAGTGCCAGACGCAATATTCTCCTACAACGAACCATAAGAGCTGACGATTTGACTGACACGATGCTTAGACACAGATTTAATAATAATCCTCGAGAAGATCGGTTCGCACAAAACTCACCTGTCGATTCTTGGAAATCTTTGAGGCCATGAAAAAATAAAAATCACAGAAGCACCACTCAGTTATGAAGCTAATCCATTCATAAACAGGAGAGAAAGCTTTAAAACAGATCAACTCGAGGTAACCAGAAGCTCAAGCAGTTATACAAATTTAGGCAGTCGTCTGGGAATTTTCGTTCTAATAACATGAATACGTAAGAAATATGTTTACTTACTTGATACTTGAACGGCTCGTCCTCACTGGTTGTGCGGACTCCAGCATAATCACCATTTTTCTGAGACTTGCTGGTTAAGCCATTGTGGTTCCTTGGAATCCCGAGGTCAGCCTGGCCAAAGTCTGCCCCAGGTCGTCAACACGACAGGCACAGTCGCAGCCCTTGTGGACCCCAGAGATATTTGCCACCAAGCGACTTTGATACCCGGACGGTGGAGGATCCTGGTATTGGTATACTCTTAGCTAGGCTTCTTGATGGAAACGCCGAACTCTTTCTCAGCTTAGGAAACCCTGTCGAGTGGACGAACCCCCCGCTACACATCGCAGTCCGACACCCAGAAAAACCTCCCAGCCACGATTAGATGGTAAACCGTTGTGAGAAATATGTTTACAAAAATAATTTGATGATATTATGTTAAACGGTAGGCACTTTAATAACAACACTACTTTGTATTTCTTCGTATTCTTGTTGAGCAAACGAGAGGTGTTATTTTTCTTCTTCATTCACGATTCCGCTGGCGTTTCGACGGATTTCGCCTTCCTCAGAGCCTGGAAAGGTCAAATTGACAGCAACCTATTCGGCCAAACACCTCTATAACCAAACAAAGAAAACGCTGAACCAAGATTTCAATCACATTAAACAGAGTCTTTGCACACTCACCGCTTTCTATGAGTCTTCCACTAAATATGTCACGTGGAGACCAACCGCACAGAATTCACATGGGAGTGTAATGTGCCCCTCCCATCAGAATAACAGGCTTATATACTGCCCAATATCACGCGTGATAATGAGGCATTCTTCCCTGCGATCCATTTCCGGATTTCTGGAATTAATCCAGAAATCCGAAAAAGAAATCCTTTATACAAACGTGTCGAATGACTCCGCAATGTAAGCCATATTCGAACTCTTTATACAACACAAAGGAGAAATAAACATGCATGGCTTTAAGATAAAGCAGTTGATGGTACTCTTAAAAGAATGCTTGAGCTGCTCAATAGTTTATGTCTAAGGTGGAAGCACCGGTGACCGATCTCGTGCCGCTACTCTACTGTAGATACATAGATGACCGTTTTGTCCTTTGCTCAATAGAAGAGGAAATGGTGAAATATTCCGAGTTGTTGAATGAACAGTCAGAGTACATCAAGTACAGCCGAGAAAAACCGAAAGCCTTCCATTTCTGAACGTCCAAAATAACCTGTCAGAAAACGGCTACATTACGAAGTGGTACCGAAAACCAAGCAGTAAAAACACCTTGTTTCACTACCTTTCCTCTCACCCCTCTCACACGAAAAGGGCGCTTATAAAAAACATTCTTCGAACAGCAACCAATGTGTGGACGGGAACAGAGCAGAGAGAGGAGTCACGGAGCTTGGCGCGGCATACAGCCATTTCTAATGGCTACGAAACTGTAGCTCTAGATAGGTATACGGGAAATCTTAGGCCTCCGAACGACAACTCTAACAATAGAAAGTTCTCGTTTACCCTACCCTTCATCCCCTCAAATGATATAAGTGCAGCTATAATACGCTGCTTAAGAAAGGCGGGTCTAGAGAATTCGGTAAACGTAGTTGAAATGCCACCGAGTGATCTTAGGCGCCAGCTAGTTCGTAATCGCCTATATGACCGTCTATGTGCAACTCAAAATTGCATAATTTGCCCCAGTGGTAGAGGCGGTGATTGCATGAGCTCGGGTTCAGTTTATCTGATCTCCTGTAAAACGTGCGGAGACGAATACCTTGACGAAACGGGTAGACCACTCTGTGTCCGCATGAAAGAACGCACAGGAATCGAGAACACAAGCGCGCAAAACTCTCGAGGCGTTCCAGATTAATTCCAAAAATCCGAAAATGAACCGCGGGGAAGAATGTTTCATTATCATGCGTGACATTTGGCAGTATATAAGCCTGTTATTCTGATGGGAGAGGCACATTACACATCCATGTGAATTCTGTGCGGTTGGTCTCGACGTGACATATTTAGTGGAAGACTCAAAGAAAGCGGTGAGTGTGCAAAGACTCTGTGTTTAACGTGGTTGAAATCTTGGTTTAGCGTTCTCTTTGTTTGGTTATGGAGGTGTTTGGCCGAATAGATCGCTGTCAACTTAACCTTTCCAGGCTCTGAGGAAGGCGAAATCCGCCGAAACGCTTATTCGTGAATAAAGAATAAAAATAACACCTCGCGTTTGCTCAACAAGAATACGAAGAATTACTTGATCAGTGCCGAGGTTAATAGAAAGTCGGTCGTGGTAGTTACTATTTTGTATTTTACTCTACCACAGAACACTCCAAGCGAACATACCATCAAAATTCTCGAACCGAAATGTGTTGAGGACTAACCGAAAATATAACATTAATCTTCATGGTACCGCTACCAGCTAAGAAGACCAATTTTATCTCTGAAGAAAAAAATGGAAGGAAATAAAAGAAAAATCTAAGAACGAAATCTACACTATTCTTGACGAAATTTACTTTGTTTGCCAACGTTAAGAATTTTAACGCTATCCTACGCATTCTCACCACCTTCTAGACGGGCAGCTTATGCTGCAAATGGTTCCAGCAAATGAGACGTTCTAATGAAAGTATTCAAGAATTCATGAAATCACTAACTTTGAGATCAAATTTCATATGTACATTGTATTTTCGTCCAAACACATTCCTCATAACAATCAAGTACGTCTCAGATCCTTCAATTGTAAGCCTGAAAAATTCGTGCTCGCGTTAAAAAAGAATCATTCCGATACAAACCTATTTCACTAAGGAAAATGGGAGATTGTTGCCGTACAGCGATCATCAGCACACGATTAATAGAATTACATTTGATACAGTCATTACATTTCTACCACTTTAATATCACCTGGTTTAAAATAGTATCACTTGATTTGGAACATCAAAACCACCTCAAATTTTAGACACTGAGTGGAAGAACGTTTGAAACATAAAACTGTCTAAATAATTGTCTCTAAAAGCCTAAAACCTCTAGTATTTCCAAGGCGGTTTTAGAAACTAGATCGCCACAGTAAGCAATCACAAACAACTGTTACCCTTCTATGTAAATTCCTACTGATTTATTTGCCTTACAAGATAGCAGAGCACATATTGTGTTGATCTCAGCACTACCTTACTTGATTCGTTGCCTCGTATCACTTATTTGCGAAAGCTTTCTAATTGTTGTGCTTGGAGGTTCAGATGCTGTCTGAGAATTTTTGTTTTCTTTACGAATTTCCCTGAATGCTAGCCCAGAAAGGTACCCTAGGAATCCTGAGATAGCCGTTTTAGGTCCGAGATCTTCTCAACAGACAGTTGTTCACCTTCGTTGAACGGAGGTTTCGAGAGAAGTCTTGTACTAACTTCCCAACCTCGGAAGGTTAACAACACCTCTACCACAGTGCTTTCTACGCCCCTTGCAGTTCCTATGACTTTTATCTATTAAGCAAAGGCCGCTGCGCTCCCACATGCACACTACTATTTGTTGCCCAACAATGAGCTTACATGGTAGATCAAAAGGAGTAGAGTATCAAAAAACTCGAAGCAATTCATAGTACTGGAGGAGTTACATTAACAACGGAATTTAAGAATTTAAGAATTTAATTAAAGGATAAGTGCATAAATACCGGTACAGTCCTAGATATTGGGGTAGTAGTGTTTTGCCTTGCTTTTCCACTACGTATTCATGATAATCCCTTAACACAGAGTGCAATTCAGCTACAGCTTCGGAATCCATAGACTAAAAAATACAATGCATAGGGAAAAATTAAAACGACTTCTAAAACTAAAAGACGCATCAAGCGAAGGAGAGTGAAAGTGAAAAGATTTCCTAAGAATATACAAACCTTAATGACAAATTTTTTATCAAAGGAGACAAACAATCTTGGAGGTGCTCCTGTTTTTGAGCCATCCAGTTGGTCTGGTTCTGGTTCATAAGTAGTAAGCGATCTGAGGTACTCCGTTGAATCAACACCAAATTGCTCACGAAGGTTTCGGAAAACATTGGGACAATATTCTTTGACCTAGGACATCTTTATAAATGTTAAGAGTATTACATTTATTTATATAAAAAAGACGAATATTCAAAGTAACTCAATTCAAAGGTTACTTCAATCACTGCGCACCTTGTAATGGCTTGGCATGATATCCTTGTTGAAATAGTGGTTATCGATTTTAACTTTCGCATAAGCTTTAAAATCATCTGGCATCAACAGTCCTGGAGGTGGGACATGATCCAGCTGACAAACAGCGTGATTTACTCCCCACATGAACACTGACAGCAACGGCTCCTAAAGGAATAATCATGAAAATCGATATTGGGACAAACATAAAAACGATTTAACAAACATTTCGCAAACCTTGGCGCGAAAAAGCTTCCATTTAGGAACAAGGATTTTTCCTTTTCCTTTAATTTTTCCAAGCGTACGAGGAGTTTTTTTCTTCGAAGACATTGCAGGTTCGTCAATAACTTGAAGTTCCAGTCGCGGACAATTGACGTTCTGTGTTTTGTTGGGCTCCAAGCAAAATCACGATAAAACCTAAGCACGAGCATTGATTAAACGGAGGGTGAAGAACAAAAAACATTACAAAGAGAAACCGTACAAACGATAGAACTATGGGTGATTAAAAAAATGAATGACAATGAACCACATGAACTTTAAAGTAAAGTAAAGGAACAACATAAATAACATACACAATGAGGTCTGTGGATATTTGAGCGAATCCTACGAACCTTGCATTTGAATTCCTATGATAAATCCTTGCTACAGACAATGAATGTTACCTACAACCAATACTACTGCTGTTAGCCTTAGCTTTATAACACTGTTAAACTGTCGCAAAAATACAAAACTAGGTAACCTCGAGATAAAAAATTCCTTGGGACATCAAAAGCCAGTCACAATGCATGCGCAATATTAGCGCTATAAAAATTATGGTCAACTAGGTCAACTTGCAAAGACCATGATTTAATTCTCATATCCTATCTAATTCTGAAAGGACATGGTTTTTCCTTACATACATTTCGAGACAAGAGTGTACAAGCATGTTTGAACTCATGAACTTCAACATGTTATTTACTCTCTATCTCTATGTCATATACTCCAAATGCCGATCCTCCTAACCGGTTCACTGCCTCATCGTAGATGGGAGATGTTCCTGGATGTCAGGCCACGATGTAGAGCGAAGAAACTTCGCCCCCTAGCAGGGTCTCTCAAGTTGAGGACTCATGCCCTACCATCAGGAAGCCTAGCTAAAAGTAAACCAATACCAGGATCCATTACCATCCTGGTATGAAAACAGCCGCACGGTGGAAAATCTCCCTCCGATGCACAAAGACAGCGACTGCCTGTGGTGATGACGACCTGGGGCAGAATTTGACCAAGCTGACTTCAGGACTCCAGGGAACCACAATGGCTAGACGAGTAGAACTCCGAAAAAACGCAAATTATGCAGGGGCACACACAACCAGTGAAGACGGGCCAACCAAGTGGATAGCCATGTGTACTCGCCAGGTCACTCTCGTTGATGGATGATTGCTGATGGTACCATTAGGGTAAAATGACTAGCTGAGGGTAAAGCAGAACGAGGGCCATATTGCTGTCGTACGTAACATGTGAGCTCCAGAAAGTGCGACCACGGTTCACCTTGGCCTTGCATCCAATATTTGTAAACATCTCAACATCATTGTAGTTGTATCACTCTCTATTATTTCCCATGAAAGGTTACTATGTCAAACACAACCACAATGATGCTAAAACACTTACAGAACTCGGAACTCTAGGTGAGCTGCGAACCCGCGATTACTGTTTCCGGGAATCACTTGTTACCCACTGCATCACCGAAAACCTTGCTTTGCCTTTCTTCCTGACAGCTTTTTCTAAAACCCAACGGCGTTATCAGCAATCACCTGTCAGCGAGAATGACGTACCACCTGTATCACCTGTAGTCCCGTTGATCGTCGAGTGCCTCGAGCGGGCGCCAGTAAATCTTTCAATTTTCCTTCTCGGGTGCTGGAGTAGTCCAGCGGTTTTGCTCTCTCTAGGGACTCGTCGAGCATCATATCATCCTTCTGAGCTTTTCGTGAAGAACGCTGACCATCGGGTCGGTGGTTTTCCTACAGTACTTTTGATATCCCGAGGAATCCAGTCACTAACGGCTCTTGTCCATCGGTTGTCATTCATACGCATTACGTGCCCACTTTATCTTCGACTGTTTGGCGTACAGAACGGCATCATTGATTTTTAGTCGTTGGCGCAGGTCGGAGTTTCGGATCCCTTCCATTACTTGTGTGAAACGGGATACTCCTAGCATCGTCATTTCGACTGCGCGTTCAATAACGCTGAGTGATTATTCATCCTGCTTACGCAGCGATCAGGTTCCTAACGCATACGTTAGGGCAGGAAGTACCTTTGAGTCGAAAATGGAAATGGATTCGGGTGTTCCTTGTTCTCTTCACTACATCCTCGATGCTCTTGAAAGCTCCCCAAGCCGCTCGTTTCCTTCTGCTCAACTCTGGAGCTAAGTCGTTCAACATGTTGATCTCCCGACCTAGATAGACATAACTGGAGCATTCGGAGATATTCGTTTCGTCGAGCGTGAATGGGGCATACGAAACGAATCCGTTTCTCATGTACATCGTTTTTGTGAGAATTAGTCGAAGACTAATCTTTCCACAGGCTCTATCAAGGTCGGCAAGCATAGGTTCCACTGGGCTAATGTTTGGTGTTATAAGGACGACGTCATCAGCAAAAAAAAGATGGTATAACTGCCGATCATAGATTTTTACTCCCATATACTCTTATTATCCCATTCCAATGTTCGCATAACGTTCTCGAGGGTGGTGGTAAATAATTTTGACAAGATGGTGTCCCCTTGCTTAACCCGCACTTTCGACATCAATGATAATATCGTTTGGTGATATCTTGGATGTGAAATTTTTGTACAGCTCACGAAGAATCTTTACGTACTGAGTAAGGACTCCTTGACTAACAACGGCCTCCATGACTGCTTCTATGTCAATTGAATCAAAGGCCTCCTGTAAATCGATGTGTGAGGTCGCCCTAGGTCGTCGTCACCACAGGCAGTCGCCGCCCTTGTGGATTAAAGGGAGATTTGCCACCATGCGACCAGTTTGATGCCAGGACGATGGTGGATTTGTATTGGTTAACTCTTAGTTAGGCTTCCTGATGGAAATGTCGGACTCCTTGTCAGCTGGGTAGACCTTGTCGGGGATGAATCCTCCTGTTGTACATCGCAGCTCAACACCCAGGAAGACCTCCCAGTTATGATGAGGCGGTAAACCGTTGGGAGGGCAAGGCAAGCTCTTATCTTAAAAAGAAAAGTTTCTATAGAGAAAGTGATTTTCACGCACTTTTTGGTGGAAGTCTGAATTTTTGGATGTTTTGTTCGTCGCAGTGGTCGAGATTTATGACTTCTCTATTTTTTCGCTCATTTCCGTCAAAGTAACCTGGAGAGGAATTTTAACATGCAAAACCACTTTTTTCCAGAATTTCGATTCCATATCCAATCATAAATAAACTAAAATCAACTATTCTACGATACGTCTGATTCTGCGACTATCGCGACTGAAAAGCAGCAGGAGATTTTGGCTCAGAGACTAAATAAATGGCCATAGACGTGGAGGTTCGAAGCGAAGAGATTAAAAATAAGCAGGATGCCTTTCTTTCACTTTATAATATAAGATCTTTGAATACATAAGTTTAGAACGACACTAGAAAACTCAGCTAAACAAACCAATGGAAAGGTAGGCGCTCAAGTTCACCCAATGGATCCAACGAAAAGATGTAACTATTGCGGAAGGGAAGGCATGAAGATAGAACCGGAGAAGAAGAAGATTAATAACGGGTTTGTCAGTAATCAGTTTTTAGTAAAAGGGGCTTGCATTCGAAGCTCTATTACAAAATTTCATAAGTTTATAGCATTTTAATCTGTCGGTTTGTCTCCTTCTTTGCTGAAAATGTTCTTGTACGAAATAGGTGATTGACAAAATCCGGTGTAGCTTTTTGCAGCTAACGCTCATCCAAACGATACAAATTAGTTCTGATTGAGCCAAATTCTCCACTAGATGNCATATCCAATCATAAATAAACTAAAATCAACTATTCTACGATACGTCTGATTCTGCGACTATCGCGACTGAAAAGCAGCAGGAGATTTTGGCCCAGAGACTAAATAAATGGCCATAGACGTGGAAGTTCGAAGCGAAGAGATTAAAAATAAGTAGGATGCCTTTCTTTCACTTTATAATATAAGATCTTTGAATACATAAGTTTAGAACGACACTAGAAAACTCAGCTAAACAAACCAATGGAAAGGTAGGCGCTCAAGTTCACCCAATGGATCCAACGAAAAGATGTAACTATTGCGGAAGGGAAGGCATGAAGATAGAACCGGAGAAGAAGAAGATTAATAACGGGTTTGTCAGTAATCAGTTTTTAGTAAAATGGGCTTGCATTCGAAGCTCTATTACAAAATTTCACAAGCTTATAGCATTTTAATATGTCGGTTTGTCTCCTTCTTTGCTGAAAATGTTCTTGTACGAAATAGGTGATTGACAAAATCCGGTGTAGCTTTTTGCAGCTAACGCTCATCCAAACGATACAAATTAGTTCTGATTGAGCCAAATTCTCCACTAGATGCTGTTCAGATTCGGATTCGGCTCTGTAACTTCCATGGTGTAAGGTTGCATCTGTGCTGCACACATCCAACATTTACTCTATCGAATGACAACGATCGCAAAAAGACTTTTCGTGTGCCCAGTTATGTTGGATCTGACGACCTCAACCAGATTGTGATCGAGGTTCTTTGTCGGGCCATCATCAATCATGTGATCGCTCATGCCTACATTAAATACGAAGTACATTCGCTCGGCTTTTTCATAATTTCCTGGCGGCCTGTTCAGTAGTTTTCTGGAGGAGGAAAATAACGCTCCGACTAATCATTCAAATTCCATAATTCTGAATGGAAAAATAGTAACTCATATTTGTTAAGTTTTATAGAACAAATGATTACCCTATTCCTCCTCCTGCGCTTGCTCCAGTGGGTTGATTTTTCGCAGACTTCGTTGAGTAAAATGAAACCGGGTTCCCTGAAGAAAGTTATGTTCTGCGTAAGGTGGACGGAATCAAGTGTTTGGCAGTAGAAGTCTCTTCGAAAGACGTCACTATTGAAGCCTATATCAATCAAGATGAATTATATGAAGTTGAATGCTGCTCTGGAATCAAACGGCCATACACGCAGTAGGGTATCACCTGTATCAACTGTAGACTCGTTGATCGTTGAGTGACTCGAACGGGCGCCAGTAAATCTTCCGTTTTTCCCTTTCGCGTGGAAGAGTAGC